TATTCTTCAATGGGATGAAATGCTGCCTCTGTTCCTACTTTGTCTGTCCTTCGAACGTGAACACTGGAAAAAGGCAGAAACTAGGAATTCAATTTATAAATACACTACATACTTTAGCAACTGAAATTTTAACTTTAAATTTCATGTGCTTTTATTGAACCCCTACATAAAACAAGGAAGGATTAAAACTCATGGATGTCCATCAAGACACACTGACAACATGAAGTTAGCTGTCAGTCTGTTCTTGAAAGCAATATAATAACCTTGCAAAGAAGGCAAAGGGTAACCGAAAGAAAAGAATGAAGGAGATTTAATTATAGCATACAAGGTATTCCTTTTGTGCAGAAGGTTAAGTTATCCAGTGTAGTTAGATAATGCTTGATCATTACAGTTCAAAAGCAAAATAGGAATATTTGCATCATGGCTATATTGGGACACCAACTACAATGCAGGGTTTGAATGAAGGTAGTTAAAAATGCATCTTCCCCATCTGCTTGAAACCTAACAAGTCTTCAGATCCGCCAGCGGTGAAGTGGCCTACTGACTCAATGGTCAAAAGCCAACTAACATTTGGACAGAACTATTGTGTACCCTTACAAAAAGAAAGATTAAGGATTGAAGGAAAATTATGGCAAAGGAAGTAATATTTGCAGACTCAGCAAAATTTTTCACGTTACATGACAGTAAAACCTTTCTTCCACAAGCTGCTCTTTATTGCCCATAGGTGCTTTCCTTCCTTCTCCCCATATCTCCCCATACAGATCTTTCCAATTCATAGTTACTGCTAAGAAACAACAATATTGAAAACATCAAAAAAAAAAGGCACATACCATGTTCAGGTGAAGCCAACAATAAAATTAGTTGTGGATTGTGGCATGTAAAATGTAGGCTTAGCCTTTTTTCCTCAAATGTAAAGGCTATAGGCACTTGAAAAGAAGACCCAGACAGAAAAGTGTCTGGAATACAAGCTGTAAGGCAATTACATGAATGAAATTCTGTATTACATTTCTAGATATGGAAGGACATATAAAAAAAAACCTTCTATTGAGCCTTTCATATATCTGTCCAACTATAGGTAGGCAAGTATGCTGAAGAAGTACTTGTAATCAACTTGTATTATGCACAGTTAAAAAATAATAGCTTCATCTAGAAAGCACCCTCTATCCCCACAAAATGCTTGAAGCTCTTGGATAACCATCATTAAACAATTTGTCCTGAACAGGAATCACTATATACACGTATTAAAGCACAGATAGTTAAAAAGAAAACTTAATACCCACCCGATCACTGGATGTTTGAAACCGAGTTTCCTTGTGGCTTCCTCTATTTCTTTTTCTAACCAAGGCTGTGGACGAATCAAGTATTTCACAAACTGCGAGACCCACCACACTGCAGGATCCCCATGTACACGAATTAGCCTATCAGCCAGGTCTTCGGGGATAGCCAACGGTAAATAAGGTGGCCGTGGGTGTAAGCTGTCAACAATGGGAAGTTCCACCACCTGAACATCCTTATCATTAGCCTCACCTGTTTTAAAACACATACTAGGATAAGTCAAGTAGTTCACTTTATTAATAAGCTTTACCATCGGCAATTAACATCTCAAACATATCAGTTAAACTGTATCTTCAACTCCAAAAAGACTACCTAACCCTTGCTCTACTTTTTCAGAATAGCATTAAAAAAATTAATAAAAATCATAGTTTCAGACTAGATTTATGTATGAACTGTATCTAACAATCCACTCCAGTAGAACAAAGTTGAAGGTCCTTGAATTCTTAAAATATAAGAAGTGTTCTTGTTTATATATTCATACCTTTTTATATACAACTACACCGTTACTGTGTGCTAAGGCTCAGTTGGACAGACTTGTTTTCTAAAATGCTTAAAATTCAGTTACTTGTTTAAAAAATAAAGAAATATTTTAAGCATAAGAAATTGTTAAAAAAAAACTATAAAGCCCTGCTGCTCTTTTGAATACATTTTATTGCAGTAGATCTTAGCATTTCAGACTTCATTAGAACCATTGAATTAGGTACTCTACTGACAGAAGGGAAGAAAGGACAGAAAGAGAGACAATTCCTGTCTTGAAGAACTTAAACTATGAAGATAAGTAGCAAATTAAATAGATCAAGGAAAACAGCCAAGCACTATACAAGCATGTGATTTACATACAGGTAAAAATTTATCTTTTAAATACTGACTATAGTGGAATATATGGATGTTTTAGACGGGACTTTTATTCAAGGCTCAATAGCCACTAAACATTTTTTAAGAGTTTTTACAAATTACACAAACATAAGTGTCTACATAACTGATAAGCTATTTTCATAGACTGAAATAAATTATAATACATGACAACATAATACAAAGCATTCCATTTTTGAAACTGAACATTTCAGGTAAGTTTTCTAGTGTGCTCATTTCCTCCAAAAGAATATTTTCATTGTGTGCAGTGTTTACTGGCAAAGATGGCTAGCTCTCTGTTTAGTGCTCACCGGTCAGGATAGCAAACTGTTTTAAATATAAGCAAATCAAACTCCTGTAACTGTTGATGACCAAGTCAACCTAATGACTGAAAAAATCAATTCAGTGCAAGGATAACGAGTCTTATTTTAAGAACAGTTAAAAATCCCTAAGGTTAGAACACTTTTGCATGCACTAAAAACCGTTCCAGTATATTTGTGACAAAGTCATAGAAATATGACAATTGCATGATTAAGTCATACACTGCCAGAATGCTATGTTAACACCAGTGAGCCTACCGAAACTCAACAAAATTCAGCAGTAACTCTCTGAGATATAGTTATTTAAATAAGGAATGTTTGTTATGATCAGGTATATTTTCAATTAATTTTTAATAGATTTGGAAAATCTGTCTTCATAGATGTACCTATATGTTAATATCTCATCACTGCGCTGTGTAACACCACTATAAAGGGATCTTTCAGAAGAAATTCCCATAGAATACGTACTGCAGGTATGGTTCATACTTTTTAATTCAAGAAGCCAATTCATATTTTTACTATATTATATCACACTTACAGGAAAAGATACAGTAAAAGTTCATTAATTTAGTAAAAATACTGAGCATTTAAGTTTTCTTATTATAAGATGGATAATATTTTATCAGTATGTCTTCAGAAAGCTGCAATAAAGAAAAGCAGCCTGAAACCAGGTAAGTGTTAAATCTAGTGCAGATGTGAAGTATTAGTCAGAATTCTAGACAAGAAACTTTTAGCTTGGGAATGGTATGAAAGAATGCTTGCGGTTCCATCCTTTTTACCCCTTCCCCCTCAACTGAGAGTGGGGGAACGAACAGAGTGGCAAAAGAAGAAGCATTAGCCAAGAGAAGAAAGAAAAGACTCTAATTTTAAGTTAGAGAAGGAAATTTGCTGCAATTCTTCTGAGGAGAAAAAGCAGAGATGCTAAGGTGCATACAAAAAGGTGAATTTTTATGAAGTATGGTATTGCTGACAAGTTTTTAAACTTCATCCTATCATTGAAAAAATATGTTGTTGTGTAAAGACAGCCATTTGGAAAGTCTTGCTATTGATAAAGCTGATTGAGCGATCTGACCCACTATTTGGCATTCTTACCCTGAAAAGCACCCAATACATTGTTCCATACTATTCAAAGGATAAAAGTGTGCTTCTAAAAATTTCACGGGCTGTCTTAAGGTTTTGAAGAAAACAAGATTGGACAGCAATAACTAGGAAAGCTCTCAGCATATATCAAACTAGATGAAAATATACCAAAATCACAAGAATACCAAAGAAGTGGGGCAGGGGGCGGGGGGGGACACAACAAAAAACCCCAAACAGATTTCAGCTTTCAACTGTATGTGATACGTTGTTTGAATAGTAATGAAGTTGCAAAAGACTTGCTGCAAATCAAAATCAGAAACAAACAAAATGTATTTCATTAAGGCAAAACAAACAATTTGGTTGTGCAAAATTAACTACTAGGTCAAGTGTTAATGAGTGCACTTTGAGATATGGAAAACTGCCTTCTGAGAAGAAACTGAAAATACCATACGGTTATTTGACAGAGAAGATTTAAGAGTTCCTTAAATCTTCCTTTGTAAAACTACGCAATATGAGACCCAACAAGGGAACTATCACTGAAAGTATGGGTAACAAATGGAAAGTCATAAAATGAAATATTCACAAATACAGATCAAAGAACACGCTGTTATTATAATTAGAAATTTTGAAATGGTTACAGAAGCCCCTCACACGCTTCAGGACTTTTGCCAGTTATTAATTGTTGACAAAGTAATTCTGACACACACAGTGTTGTGCTAAGGCAATGCATGCAATTGTTTGGTTTTTTTAAATATAAAAAAATCAAACGATCAATATGGTCATCACTATTTTCAACAATGCTCTATTTTGTTAACGGTTTACATAAAATCAGAAGTGGGCAAGTCTACTTAATCCAAACATAAAAACTTCTGATAAAGCACAGCCATTTGACATCACTGATTAGAACATCTGTGTAATCAAACACGCAGATGTGTGAACAATTCTAGGAAATTTTTGACAACTTTCTAGTTTTTATTACCTTTATTACCATTCTGAACAATGAATAAAAAACTTCCTAGTAGTCTTCACTCACTTCAAAAAGTATGAGATAGCAGATGCAGTAAAAGGAAAACTTACAGCAACTGTTTGCTTTTGTCCTGGACAAAAACAGTGAAGAGTAACTCTTTAGTAACCTGAAGGAGTAAACAACTCCCTGCAACAGCCATATAGGCAAGTGACAGCTTTCTTATCCTACTGATCACTATTTTTTTTTCAGTGTTTGTTGAAAGATTCCTAATAGGCAATGATCTTGTCCTATTTTTGACAGGCATAGCTTAAAAAACTTTCATGAAAATTTTGGATAGCAGGATATTGTTTTAGTTTACTCAGAAACAAGCTGCAATCAAAATCATTGATACAGTAGATAACCAAAACTCAGTCAGATTGATAGGCAAGCATATACATTACAAAAACATTAAGTCACATTCTTGATTGATATGAATTGTAGCTGTTCAACTGAAGATAGTGGAGTTGAATTAAAAATAAGAATGATCTTTTCATCCACACATTTCTTCAGTTTTCAGCTATGTATTCTCTGAATTTTAAAACACCACAGTTCTTCCACTTCCCAGCTGTATTTTGTTAAATAATAGATAAACCATAAAAGGTAATAATCCATACTAATGCTTATATCTTTTTCTCATGTTGATAGTTCAAATCACAGTATCACCATGTCAATGAGGTCCAATTCCCTGCACAATGCAGGTCCAACTTTGACATTTGATCACAGAATGCCAGAATTACTTAGGTGGGAAGACACCTCTAGAGTTGTTGTAGGTCATTTACATTTCAGCACTACTTCAAGCTACTTCTTCCAATGTGATTTATTTTGCTTTTACAGTTGCCAAAATTTGCCTCTGTAATTCTATTTATAGCTTGTTTAAGTTTCATATGATTCCAGGTGCTATTTCTCAGTTTGGATTAACCTAAATAATTGTCCTCCAAAGTTCTGCAACTTAATCTGTTTTTCCTTCACTGAGTAATCAAAAGATCAAATGTTTTTGTAATAGTCATAAAGTACTGCAATATTGATAACACTCTTCTATCATAATGACATACTCTGGAGGAAAATCATGTACTTGTAAAGAAATTGATTTTTATTTAGATGACCTGTGCCAGTTGCACCACCTGGTTCTTATTTATCACCAATTTTTGGATATGTTCATCACTAATAGATCAGTAACACAGTTTCAGTTTCCAGGAGTCCCCCTGATTACTTTTTAAATACTGAAATGAGCTGTGTGTGTTATAAAAAGCATAACTTTGTTTCCCTGCAGTATCCCAATGTGCCTTAATTACTTACTTCATAGCTCACAGGACTTATTAATTTTTCGTGATTTGGCATAATCTGTCTGTCTGGCATAATTTGGCCTGTCTACTTTTCAGAATTAAACTTTGTCCTCCTAATTTAAAGCCCATTTAGAGACTTTTGCTATTTGTATCTTCCATATCAACTTCTTTGAAGAGTGAAAAATGTTGGTTTGGCTCAAAACGACCTTTGGAGTATTTGTCATTTTACCTTTCCTTACTTCCTGCCATCTGAACATTGGCTCAGACCTGCATTTGGATGGAATTTTTGTTGGGTGTTCATTACTTTGAACAGCAAAATGTCAACAATCAATACTATTAGTTAATGTTAACTGAAAATCTGTTTGAGCACTTTATTCATTCTCCTATTATTTCAAAATTCGTCATCTAATTTCAAAGTATTCTTTCAAGAAGTTGTCCTTAGAAATATGCCAAGGAACACTGTGCTAAGGACTTTCCTGTTGTGTAAATGAGAACTTCAATTTAATTTGTTTGTGTTGCTAGAAACAGAACTGAATAAACTCAAATAAAAATGGAATAGCTTCATTGCTATTGTTTTTATAATATAGACTTATTTAAGCTGATATCGACTTGCATAGACTAATCACAGCTCTACTTAACTAAGCTCTACAA